GTCACTCACTCAGTCACACAGTCACTCAGCTAGTCACTCAGTCACTCAGCTAGTCACTTAGCTAGTCACTCAGTCACTCAGCTAGTCACTCAGTCAGTCAGCTAGTCACTCAGTCACTCAGTCACTCAGTCACTTAGCTAGTCACTCAGTCACTCAGTCACTCAGCTAGTCACTCAGTCACTCAGTCACTCAGTCACTCAGCTAGTCACTCAGTCAGTCAGCTAGTCACTCAGTCACTCAGTCACTCAGTCACTCAGCTAGTCACTCAGTCACTCCGCTAGTCACTCAGTCACTCAGTCACTCAGCTAGTCACTCAGTCACTCAGTCACTTAGTCACTCAGCTAGTCACTCAGCTAGTCACTCAGTCACTCACTCAGTCACTCAGTCACTCAGTCACTCACCTTTTCATTGTGTCTGTGTGTGTGTGTGTGTAACTGTGTGTGTGTGTAACTGTGTGTGTGTAACTGTGTGTGTGTAACTGTGTGTGTCTGTGTGTGTGTGTAACTGTGTGTGTGTAACTTTGTGTGTGTAACTGTGTGTGTGTGTGTCTCTCTCTCTGTGTGTGTCTGTGTGTAACTGTGTGTGTCCGTGTGTGTGTGTCTGTGTGTGTGTGTAACTGTGTGTATGTAACTGTGTCTGTGTGTAACTGTGTGTGTGTAACTGTGTGTGTGTGTAACTGTGTGTGTTTGTAACTGTGTGCGTGTGTGTGTCTCTCTCTGTGTGTGTAACTGTGTGTGTGTGTCTGTGTGTGTGTCTGTGTGTAACTGTGTGTGTGTAACTGTGTGTGTAACTGTGTGTCTGTGTGTAACTGTGTGTGTGTAATTGTTTGTGTGTGTAACTGTTTGTGTGTCTCTCTCTATGTGTGTAACTCTGTGTGTGTGTCTGTGTGTAACTGTGTGTAACTGTGTGTGTGTGTCTGTGTGTGTAACTGTGTGTGTAACTGTGTGTGTGTCTGTGTGTGTGTGTAACTGTGTGTAACTGTGTGTGTGTAACTGCGTGTCTGTGTGTGTAACTGTGTGTGTGTAACTGTGTGTCTGTGTGTGTGTAACTGTATGTAACTGTGTGTGTGACTGTGTGTCTGTGTGTGTATCTGTGTGTGTAACTGTGTGTGTGTAACTGTGTGTGTATGTCTCTGTGTCTGTGTGTGTCTATGTAACTATGTGTAACTGTGTCTGTGTGTGTCTGTGTAACTGTGTGTAACTGTGTCTGTGTTTGTCTGTGTGTGTGTGTGTAACTGTGTCTGTGTGTGTGTTTGTGTGTGTAACTGTGTGTGTGACTGTGTGTGTGACTGTGTGTGTCTCTGTGTGTATGTGTGTGTGTCTGTCTGTGTCTGTGTGTCTCTGTGTGTAACTGTGTGTGTGTATGTGTATATCTGCGTATGTAACTGTCTGTGTGTGTGTGTCTGTGTGTGTCTGTGTAACTGTGTGTGTGTCTGTGTGTGTGACTGTGTGTGTGTGTGTGTAACTGTGTCTGTGTGTGTGTGTATCTGTGTGTAACTGTGTCTGTGTGTGTCTGTGTGTGTATCTGTGTGTAACTGTGTGTGTGTCTCTGTGTCTGTGTGTGTGTGTATCTGTGTGTTACTGTGTCTGTGTGTGTAACTATGTGTGTGTGTGTGTCTGTGTGTGTGTCTGTGTGTGTCTGTGTGTATCTGTGTGTGTCTGTGTGTGTCTGTGTGTGTCTCTCTGTGTGTGTAACTGTGTGTGTAACTGTGTATCCGTGCGTGTGTAACTGTGTGTGTGACTGTGTGTGTGTCTGTGTGTGTGTCTGTGTGTCTGTGTGTGTCTGTGTGTCTATGCGTGTGTGTAACTGTGTGTGTGTAACTGTGTGTGTGTGTGTGTAACTGTGTGTGTCTGTGTGTGTGTAACTGTGTGTGTGTAACTATGTGTGTGTGTGTGTAACTGTGTGTGTGTCTGTGTGTGTAACTGTGTGTGTGTAACTGTGTGTCTGTGTGTGTGTAACTGTGTGTGTGTAACTGTGTGTGTGTTTGTAACTGTGTGTGTGTTTGTAACTGTGTGTGTGTTTGTAACTGTGTGTGTGTGTGTCTGTGTGTAACTGTGTGTAACTGTGTGTGTGTAACTGTGTTTGTGTGTGTAACTGTGTGTGTCTGTGTGTGTGTAACTGTGTGTGTGTGTAACTGTGTGTCTGACTGTGTGTCCGTCTGTGTGTGTCTGTGTGTGTAACTGTGTGTGTGTAACTGTGTCTGTGTGTAACTGTGTGTGTATGTCTCTGTGTCTGTGTGTGTGTGTATCTGTGTGTAACTGTGTCTGTGTGTGTCTGTGTGTGTGTAACTGTGTGTATCTGTGTGTCTCTGTGTGTGTGTCTGTGTGTGTAACTGTGTGTGTGTAACTGTGTCTGTGTGTAACTGTGTGTGTGTATCTGTGTGTAACTGTGTCTGTGTGTGTAACTGTGTGTGTATGTCTCTGTGTGTGTTTGTGTGTGTGTGACTGTGTGTGTGTCTGTGTGTCTGTGTGTGTGTGTGTGACTGTGTGTGTATCTGTGTGTCTGTGTGTGTGTATCTGTGTGTAACTGTGTGTGTGTGTGTAACTGTGTCTGTGTGTGTAACTGTGTGTGTAACTGTGTGTGTGTCTGTGTGTGTGACTGTGTGTGTATGTGTCTGTGTCTGTGTATATCTGTGTGTAACTGTGTCTGTGTGTGTGTGTATCTGTGTGTAACTGTGTCTGTGTGTGTCTGTGTGTGTGTGTAATTGTGTGACTGTGTGTGTAACTGTGTGTAACTGTGTGTGTGTAAGTGTGTGTGTATGTCTCTGTGTCTGTGTGTGTGTATCTCTGTGTGTAACTGTGTCTGTGTGTGTGTGTGTAACTGTGTCTGTGTCTGTGTGTGTCTGTGTGTGTAACTGTGTGTGTGTGTAACTGTGTCTGTGTGTGTAACTGTGTCTGTGTGTGTGTGTGTAACTGTGTGTGTGACTGTGTGTGTCTGTGTGTGTGTGTGTAACTGTGTCTGTGTGTGTCTGTGTGTGTCTGTGTGTGTGTGTGTAACTGTGTGTGTATGTCTCTGTGTCTGTGTGTGTAACTGTGTGTGTGTCTGTGTGTAACTGTGTGTGTGACTGTGTGTGTGTCTCTGTGTGTCTGTGTGTGTATCTGTGTGTAACTGTGTGTGTGTGTGTGTAACTGTGTGTGTGACTGTCTGTGTGTGTGTGTGTAACTGTGTCTGTGTGTGTCTGTGTGTCTGTGTGTGCGTAACTGTGTCTGTGTGTAACTGTGTGTCTGTGTGTGTGTGTGGCTGTGTGTGTAACTGTGTGTAACTGTGTGTGTGTGTAACTGTGTGTGTATGTCTCTGTGTGTGTAACTGTGTGTGTAACTGTGTGTATCTCTGTGTGTCTGTGTGTGTGTGTGTGTCTGTGTGTAACTGTGTGTGTGTAACTGTGTCTGTGTGTGTGTAACTGTGTGTGTCTCTGTGTGTGTGTGACTGTGTGTGTCTCTGTGTGTGTAACTGTGTGTGTGTAACTGTGTCTGTGTGTAACTGTGTGTGTATCTGTGTGTAACTGTGTCTGTGTGTGTAACTGTGTGTGTATGTCTCTGTGTGTGTTTGTGTGTGTGTGACTGTGTGTGTGTCTGTGTGTCTGTGTGTGTGTGTGTGACTGTGTGTGTATCTGTGTGTCTGTGTGTGTGTATCTGTGTGTAACTGTGTGTGTGTGTGTAACTGTGTCTGTGTGTGTAACTGTGTGTGTAACTGTGTGTGTGTCTGTGTGTGTGACTGTGTGTGTATGTGTCTGTGTCTGTGTATATCTGTGTGTAACTGTGTCTGTGTGTGTGTGTATCTGTGTGTAACTGTGTCTGTGTGTGTCTGTGTGTGTGTGTAATTGTGTGACTGTGTGTGTAACTGTGTGTAACTGTGTGTGTGTAAGTGTGTGTGTATGTCTCTGTGTCTGTGTGTGTGTATCTCTGTGTGTAACTGTGTCTGTGTGTGTGTGTGTAACTGTGTCTGTGTCTGTGTGTGTCTGTGTGTGTAACTGTGTGTGTGTGTAACTGTGTCTGTGTGTGTAACTGTGTCTGTGTGTGTGTGTGTAACTGTGTGTGTGACTGTGTGTGTCTGTGTGTGTGTGTGTAACTGTGTCTGTGTGTGTCTGTGTGTGTCTGTGTGTGTGTGTGTAACTGTGTGTGTATGTCTCTGTGTCTGTGTGTGTAACTGTGTGTGTGTCTGTGTGTAACTGTGTGTGTGACTGTGTGTGTGTCTCTGTGTGTCTGTGTGTGTATCTGTGTGTAACTGTGTGTGTGTGTGTGTAACTGTGTGTGTGACTGTCTGTGTGTGTGTGTGTAACTGTGTCTGTGTGTGTCTGTGTGTCTGTGTGTGCGTAACTGTGTCTGTGTGTAACTGTGTGTCTGTGTGTGTGTGTGGCTGTGTGTGTAACTGTGTGTAACTGTGTGTGTGTGTAACTGTGTGTGTATGTCTCTGTGTGTGTAACTGTGTGTGTAACTGTGTGTATCTCTGTGTGTCTGTGTGTGTGTGTGTGTCTGTGTGTAACTGTGTGTGTGTAACTGTGTCTGTGTGTGTGTAACTGTGTGTGTCTCTGTGTGTGTGTGACTGTGTGTGTCTCTGTGTGTCTCTCTGTGTGTGTGTGTCTGTGTGTAACTGTGTGTGTGTAACTGTGTGTGTGTAACTGTGTCTGTGTGTGTGTAACTGTGTGTGTCTCTGTGTGTGTGTAACTGTGTCTCTGTGTGTCTGTGTGTGTAACTGTGTCTGTGTGTGTGTGTGTAACTGTGTCTGTGTGTGTGTGTAACTGTGTGTGTCTCTGTGTGTGTATAACTGTGTGTATCTCTGTGTGTCTGTGTGTGTGTATGTCTCTGTGTGTAACTGTGTGTGTGTAACTGTGTCTGTGTGTGTGTAACTGTGTGTAACTGTGTGTGTATAACTGTGTGTATCTCTGTGTCTCTGTGTGTGTGTATAACTGTGTGTGTAACTGTGTGTGTATCTGTGTGTCTGTGTGTGTGTATAACTGTGTGTATCTCTGTGTGTGTCTGTGTGTGTGTGTCTGTGTGTAGCAAGCGCTTGTGATCCGCGAGGGAGAGAAGCTGCAGATCAACGCCGTGGAGGTGGTGGCCGGCGACTTGGTCGAGATCAAGGGCGGAGATCGAATCCCGGCTGACCTGCGAATCATCTCGGCCCACGGCTGCAAGGTAGAGACACGACACAAAGACTCAGAGACACAGAGACACACAGAGATACAGAGAGACACACAGAGACACACAGAGACACACAGAGACACAGAGACACACAGAGACACACAGAGACACACACAGAGACACACAGAGACTCACAGAGACACACAGAGACACACAGAGACACACACAGAGACACACAGAGACACACAGAGACACACAGAGACACACACAGAGACACAGAGACACAGAGACACACAGAGACACAACGCGGTGGAGGTGGTGGCCGGCGACTTGGTCGAGATCAAGGGCGGTGACCGAATCCCGGCTGACCTGCGAATCATCTCGGCCCACGGCTGCAAGGTAGAGACACACAGAGACACACAGAGACAGAGACACACAGAGACACTCACAGAGACACACAGAGACAGAGACACACAGAGACACACTTACAGAGACACACAGAGACACACAGAGACACAGAGACACACAGAGACACACAGAGACACAGAGACACTCTTACAGAGACACAGAGACACTCTTACAGAGACACAGAGACACTCAAAGAGACACTTACAGAGACTCAGAGACACAGAGACACAGAGACACACAGAGACACAGACACACAGAGACTCACAGAGACACAGAGACTCACAGAGACACAGAGACACTCACAGAGACACAGAGACACTCACAGAGACACAGAGACACACAGAGACACACAGAGACACACAGAGACACACAGGGACACAGAGACTCACAGAGACACACTTACAGAGACACTTACAGAGACACACAGAGACACAGAGACCCTCTTACAGAGACACAGAGACACTCACAGAGACACACAGAGACACAGAGACACTCTTACAGAGACACAGAGAGACACAGAGACACTTACAGAGACTCAGAGACACAGAGACACTCTTACAGAGACACAGAGAGACACACAGAGACACTTACAGAGACTCAGAGACACAGAGACACTCTTACAGAGACACAGAGACACTCACAGAGACACTCAGAGACACAGAGACACTCACAGAGACACACAGAGACACTTACAGAGACTCAGAGACACAGAGACACTCTTACAGAGACACAGAGACACTCACAGAGACACTTACAGAGACTCAGAGACACAGAGGCACACTTACAGAGACACACAGAAACACTCACAGAGACACTTACAGAGACACAGAGACACAGAGACTCACAGAGACACAGAGACACAGAGACACACAGAGACACACAGAGACACACAGAGACACAGAGACGCTCTTACAGAGACACACAGAGACACACAGAGACTCAGAGACACACAGAGACACACTTACAGAGACACAGAGACACTCACAGAGACACACATAGAGACTCAGAGACACAGAGGCACACTTACAGAGACACACAGAGACACACAGAGACACACAGAGACACTTACAGAGACTCAGAGACACAGAGACACTCACAGAGACACACAGAGACACTTACAGAGACACACAGAGACACACACACTCACAGAGGCACACAGAGACACACAGAGACTCAGAGACACAGAGACACTCTTACAGAGACACAGAGACACTCACAGAGACACACAGAGACACAGAGACACACTTACAGAGACACAGAGACACTCACAGAGACACTTACAGAGACTCAGAGACACACAGAGACACACAGAGACACACAGAGACACACCGAGGCACACTTACGGAGACACACAGAGACACACAGAGACACTCTTACAGAGACACACAGAGACACAGAGACACACAGAGACACTTTCAGAGACACAGAGACACTCACAGAGACACACAGAGACACACACACAGAGACACACAGAGACACTTACAGAGACTCAGAGACACAGAGACACACTTAAAGAGACACACAGAGACACTTACAGAGACACACAGAGACACACAGAGACACACAGACTCACAGAGGCACACAGAGACACACAGAGACTCAGAGACACAGAGACACACTTACAGAGACACACAGAGACACAGAGACACACTTACAGAGACACACAGAGACACAGAGACGCTCTTACAGAGACACAGAGACACTCACAGAGACACACAGAGACACACAGAGACACAGAGACACACTTACAGAGACACACAGACTCACAGAGACAGAGACACTCTTACAGAGACACAGAGATACTCACAGAGACACACAGAGACTCAGAGACACAGAGACACACTTACAGAGACACACAGAGACACACAGAGACACAGAGACACACTTACAGAGACACAGAGACACAGAGACTCACAGAGACACACAGAGACACACAGAGACTCAGAGACACAGAGACACACTTTCAGAGACACACAGAGACACTTACAGAGACACACAGAGACACACAGACTCACAGAGGCACACAGAGACACACAGAGACTCAGAGACACAGAGACACACTTACAGAGACACACAGAGACACACAGAGACACAGAGACACACAGAGACACACCGAGGCACACTTACGGAGACACACAGAGACACACAGAGACACTCTTACAGAGACACACAGAGACACAGAGACACACAGAGACACTTTCAGAGACACAGAGACACTCACAGAGACACACAGAGACACACACACAGAGACACACAGAGACACTTACAGAGACTCAGAGACACAGAGACACACTTAAAGAGACACACAGAGACACTTACAGAGACACACAGAGACACACAGAGACACACAGACTCACAGAGGCACACAGAGACACACAGAGACTCAGAGACACAGAGACACACTTACAGAGACACACAGAGACACAGAGACACACTTACAGAGACACACAGAGACACAGAGACGCTCTTACAGAGACACAGAGACACTCACAGAGACACACAGAGACACACAGAGACACAGAGACACACTTACAGAGACACACAGACTCACAGAGACACAGAGACACTCTTACAGAGACACAGAGATACTCACAGAGACACACAGAGACTCAGAGACACAGAGACACACTTACAGAGACACACAGAGACACACAGAGACACAGAGACACACTTACAGAGACACAGAGACACAGAGACTCACAGAGACACACAGAGACACACAGAGACTCAGAGACACAGAGACACACTTACAGAGACACACAGAGACACTTACAGAGACACACAGAGACACACAGACTCACAGAGGCACACAGAGACACACAGAGACTCAGAGACACAGAGACACACTTACAGAGACACACAGAGACACACAGAGACACAGAGACACACTTACAGAGACACACAGAGACACAGAGACACTCAGAGACACAGAGACACACGGAGACACACAGAGACACACAGAGACACACAGAGACTGAGAGACACAGTTCACACTTACAGAGACACACAGAGACACTCAGAGACACTCAGAGACACTCAGAGACACACAGAGACACTCAGAGACACAGACACACACAGAAACACAGAGACACACAGAGACACGCACAGACACACACAGAGACACACACAGAGGCACACAGAGACACACAGAGACACACACAGAGACACACACACAGACACACACAGAGACACACACAGAGACACACACAGAGACTCACAGAGACACACAGAGACACACACAGAGACACTCACAGAGACACTCACAGAGACACTCACAGAGACACACAGAGACACACAGAGACACTCACAGAGACACAGAGACACACAGAGACACACAGAGACATACACACAGAGACACACACAGAGACACTCACAGAGACACTCACAGAGACACACAGAGACACTCACAGAGACACAGAGACACACAGAGACACACAGAGACATACACACAGAGACACACACAGAGACACACACAGAGACACACACACAGACACACACACAGACACACAGAGACACTCACAGAGACACTCACAGAGACACAGAGGCACTCACAGAGACAAAGAGACACTCACAGAGACACAGAGACACTCACATTGTCTCTGTCCCCGCTGTGTCTCCCTGCAGGTGGACAACTCGTCCCTGACGTGTCTCTGACTCCGCTGTGTCTGTGTCTCTGCTGTTTCTCTGTGTCTCCGCTGCCTCTGTGTCTCTGTCCCCGCTGTGTCTCTGTCCCCGCTGTGTCTCTCTGTAGGTGGACAACTCGTCCCTGACGTGTCTCTGTGTCTCTGTCCCCGCTGTGTCTCTGTGTCTCTGTCCCTCACGTGTCTCTCTGCAGGTGGACAACTCGTCCCTGACGTGTCTCTGTCCCCGCTGTGTCTCTGTGTCTCTGCCGTGTCTCTCTGTAGGTGGACAACTCGTCCCTGACGTGTCTCTGTGTCTCTGTCCCCGCTGTGTCTCTGTGTCTCTGTGTCCGCTGTGTCTCTGTGTCTCTGTCCCTCACGTGTCTCTCTGCAGGTGGACAACTCGTCCCTGACGTGTCTCTGTGTCCGCTGTGTCTCTGTGTCTCTGTCCCCGCTGTGTCTCTGTGTCTATGTCCCTGACGTGTCTCTGTGTCTCTGTCCCCGCTGTGTCTCTGTGTCTATGTCCCTCACGTGTCTATGTCCCCGCCGTGTCTCTCTGTAGGTGGACAACTCGTCCCTGACGTGTCTCTGTGTCTCTGTCCCCGCTGTGTCTCTGTGTCTCTGTCCCTCACGTGTCTCTGTGTCTCTGTCCCCGCCGTGTCTCTCTGTAGGTGGACAACTCGTCTCTGACGTGTCTCTGTGTCTATGTCCCTGACGTGTCTCTGTGTCTCTGTCCCCGCTGTGTCTCTGTGTAGGTGGACAACCAGTCCCTGACGTGTCTCTGTATCTCTGTCCCTCACGTGTCTCTGACTCCGCTGTCTCTGTATCTCTGTCTCCGCTGTGTCTCTCTGTAGGTGGACAACCAGTCCCTGACGTGTCTCTGTATCTCTGTCCCTCACGTGTCTCTGACTCCGCTGTCTCTGTATCTCTGTCTCCGCTGTGTCTCTCTGTAGGTGGACAACTCGTCCCTGACGTGTCTCTGTGTCTCTGTCCCCGCTGTGTCTCTGTGTCTATGTCCCTGACGTGTCTCTGTGTCTCTGTCCCCGCCGTGTCTCTCTGTAGGTGGACAACTCGTCCCTGACGTGTCTCTGTGTCTCTGTCCCCGCTGTGTCTCTGTGTCTCTGTCTCCGCTGTGTCTCTCTGTAGGTGGACAACTCGTCCCTGACGTGTCTCTGTGTCTATGTCCCTGACGTGTCTCTGTGTCTCTGTCCCTGACGTGTCTCTGTGTCTATGTCCCCGCCGTGTCTCTCTGCAGGTGGACAACTCGTCCCTGACGGGAGAGTCTGAACCTCAAAGTCGCTCCCCAGAATTCACGAACGAGAACCCCCTGGAAACCAAAAACATCGCCTTCTTCTCAACAAATTGTGTCGAAGGTGACACTCACACACACACACAGTGACACATACAGACACATACACATACACTCACACACACAGTGACACACACACAGACAGTGACACACACACACACAGTGACACTCACACACAGTGACACACACACACACAGTGACACATACAGTGACACATACAGTGACACACACAGTGACACACACACAGTGACACACACAGTGACACACAGTGACACACACACAGTGACACACACAGTGACACATACAGTGACACACACACATACACAGTGACACTCACAGTGACACACACACATACACACACAGACACACACAGTGTCACACACAGTGTCACACACACAGTGACACACACAGTGACACTCACACACACAGTGACACACACACACACAGACACACACACACACAGTGACACTCACACACAGACACACAGTGTTACACACACACAGACAGTGTCACACACACACAGACACATACACACAGTGTTACACACATATACACATACACATACACTCACACACACAGTGACACACACACACACAGTGACACACACACACACAGTGACACACACACACAGTGACACACACACACACAGTGACACATACACACAGACACATACACACAGTAACACACACACAGACACACACATATACACAGACACACACACAGACACAGTGTTACACATACACACAGTGACACTCACACACACACACAGTGACACTCACAGTGACACACACACAGTGACACTCACAGTGACACACATACACACACAGACACACAGTGTTACACACACACAGTGACACACACACACAGACACACACAGACACACACACACACACAGACACACACACACAGTGACACACACAGTGACACACACACACAGACACACACAGACACACATACACACACACAGTGACACACACACACAGACACACACACATACACACAGTGACACTCACAGACACACAGTAACACACACACAGACACACACACAGACACACACAGTGACACTCACACACACACATACAGACACATACAGACACATACACACACACACAGTGACACACACACACAGTGACACACACACACAGTGACACACACACAGACACACACACACAGACTCACACACACACACAGACACACAAAGATCCCCCGTATAGCCTTAACAGACTGTAGGGGCAAGTGCTGTTAGCGAGCACCTATGAAGGCCGGAACGGTACACGAGGGGGTGGGTGGCCAGCACCACGCCCGACCGCCTTTGTCTCCCTAGTGGCAATGTTTACACACCGCACCAGGTACTCATTTGAGGCTGAGTCGACCTAGGGGAGGCCCGGGAGCGGTTCAGATAATCGTCACTGGTGTTGGCCGTGAGCGGGAATCGAACCCGGGTCGCCAGGTTCATAGCGCAGCGCGCTAACCGCTACACTATCGCTCCCCACACACACACACACACAGTGTTACACACACACAGTGACACTCACACAGTGACACACACAGTGACACACATACACAGTGACACACACACAGTGACACTCACACACACACAGTGACACACATACACAGTGACACACACACACAGTGACACTCACACACACACAGTGACACACACACACAGTGACACACACACACAGTGACACTCACACACATACACAGTGACACACACAGTGACACTCACACAGTGACACACAGACACACACAGTGACACTCACACAGTGACACACACACAGAGTGACACACAGTGACACACATACACAGTGACACACACACACAGTGACACACACACACACACAGACACATACAGTGACACACACACACACACAGTGTCACACACACACAGTGACACACATACACAGTGACACACACACAAACAGAGTGTCACACACACATATACACACACACATACACAGTGACACACACACAGTGACACACACAGACAGACACATACAGTGACACACACAGACACACTCACACACACACACACAGTGACACACACACATACACTCACACACACTCACACACACACAGTGACACTCACACAGACACATATACACAGACACACACATACATACACTCACACACACAGTGTCACACACACACACACAGACACATACACACACATACATACACTCACACACACACACAGTGACACTCACATACATACATATACACAGACACATACACACAGACACAGTGACACACACAGACACACACAGACACACACAGACACACAGTGACACAGACACAGACACACAGACACAGTGACACACACAGACACACACAGACACACACAGACACACACACAGACACACTCACACATACACAGTGTTACACACACACATACATACACAGTGTTACACACACATACATACACAGTGTTACACACACACACAGACACTCAGACACACACACAGATACAAAGACAAAGATCCCCCGTATAGCCTTAACAGACTGTAGAGCCAAGTGCTGTTTGCGAGCACCTATGAAGAAAACCCCCTGGAAACCAAAAACATCGCCCTCTTCTCCACAAATTGTGTCGAAGGTGACACTCACACACACACACAGTGACACACACACACATACACAGTGACACACACAGTGACACTCACACACACACACAGTGACACACACAGTGACACTCACACACACACACAGTGACACACACAGTGACACTCACACACACACACAGTGACACTCAGTGACACACACACATATACAGAGACACTCACACAGACATAGTGACACACACACATACACACACACAGTGACACTCACACACACATGGACACACACACACAGTGACACTCACACACAGACACACACACACACATCTACACAGACACACAAACACACACAGTGACACACACACACAGACACACATACACACAGTGTTACACACACACAGACACAGTGACACACACACACAGACACACACAGACACACACACACAGTGACACACACATACACACAGTGACACACACACACACAGACACACACACACAGTGACACACAGTGACACACACACACACACAGTGACACACACACACACACAGTGACAGACACACACTCACACACACACAGTGACACATACAGTGACACTCACACACACACAGTGACACACACACACACAGTGACACACACACACAGACACACACACAGTGACACACACACACACAGACACACACACACAGACACACATATACACAGACACACACACACAGACACACATATACACAGACACACACACGGACACAGTGACACACACACAGTGACACACACACACACACAGTGACACACACACAGTGACACACAGTGTCACACACAGTGACACTCACACAGTGACACATACATACACACACACAGTGACACACGCACACACACAGTGACACACCCACACACATACATACACAGTGACACACACACACACAGACACACACATACACACACACAGTGACACACACACACAGTGACACACACAGACACACACAGACACACACAGTGACACACACAAACACACACATACACACACACACACTGACACACACAGACACACACACACACAGTGACACACACACACACAGTGACACACACACACACAAACACACATACACACAGACACACACACAGACACAGTGACACACACACACAGACACACAGTGACACACACACACATACACACACAGTGACAGACACACACATACACACAGACACATACACACACACAGTGACACACACACACAGTGACACTCACACACAGACATATACACACACACAGACACACACAGTGTCACACACACACAGTGACACTCACACACACACACACAGACACATACACACACAGTGACACACACAGACACATACACATAGACACACACACAGTGACAGACATACACACATACACACAGTGACACACACACACAGAGTGACACTCACACACACACAGTGACACTCACACACATAAACACACACAGTGACACACACACAGTGTTACACACACACAGTGTTACACACACACACAGTGACACACAGTGTCACACACACAGTTACACACACACACACAGTGACACACATACACACTCACACACTGTGTCACATACAGTGTCACGCATACACACACACATACACAGTGTCACTCACACACTCACAGTGTCACACACACAGTGTTACACACACAGTGTCACACACAGACACTCTCACACACACAGACACACACACAGACACACACACAGTGTTACACACACAGACACACACACAGACACACACACACACAGTGTCACACACAGACCCACACACAGTGACACACACAGAGACACAGTCACACACACACAGACACACACAGACACAGTCACACACAGTGTCACATACACAGTAACACACACAGAGACACACACACACAGACACACACAGAGACACACACACAGAGACATAGACACACACACACACACAGACACACACACACAGACACACACACACCCACTCACCTACTCACTCACCCCCCCCCACCCACCCACTCATCCACTCACCCACCCACCCACCCACTCACCCACTCACCCACTCACCCACCCACCCACTCACCCACTCACTCACCTACTCACCCACCCACCCACTAACTCACCCACTCACCCACTCACCCACCCACCCACTCACTCACTCACTCACCCACTCACCCACTCACTCACCTACTCACCCACTCACCCACCCACTCACCCACTCACCCACTCACTCACTCACCCACTCACCCACCCACTCACCCACCTACTCACCCACCCACTCACCCACCCATTCACTCACCCACTCACGCACTCACCCACCCACCCACTCACTCACTCACTCACCCACTCACCCACCCACCCATTCACTCACCCACTCACCCCCACACTCACCTACTCACCCACTCACTCACCCACACCCCCATCCACTCACCCACTCACTCACTCACCCACCCACTCACTCACCCACCCACACCCCCACTCACTCACTCACTCACCCACTCACCCACCCACTCACTCACCCACCCACCCACTCACTCACCCACCCACTCACCCACTCACTCACCCACTCACCCACACACCCACTCACTCACTCACCCACTCACCCACTCACTCACCTACTCACCCACTCACCCACCCACTCACCCACTCACCCACTCACTCACTCACCCACTCACCCACCCACTCACCCACCTACTCACCCACCCACTCACCCACCCATTCACTCACCCACTCACCCACTCACTCACTCACTCGCTCACTCACCCACCCACTCACCCACTCACTCACTCACTCACCGACTCACTCACTCACCGACTCACTCACTCACTCATTCACTCACCCCCCCACCCACTCACCTCCCCCACCCACTCACCCACTCACTCATTCACCCACCCACTCACTCACTCACCCACCCACTCACTCACTCACCCACCCACCCACTCACCAACTCACTCACTCACTCACCCACCCACCCACTCACTCACCCACTCACTCCCCCACCCACTCACCAACCCACTCACTCACCCACTCACTCACTCACCCACCCACTCACTCACCCACTCACTCCCCCACCCACTCACCCACCCACTCACCCACCCACACACCCACCCACACACCCACCCACTCACCCACTCACTCACTCACTCACCCACTCACTCACCCACTCACTCACCCACCCACCCACTCACCCACCCACTCACTCACTCACTCACCCACTCACTCAACCACTCACTCAACCACTCACCCACTCACTCACTCACTCGCTCACTCACCCCCCCCCACTCACTCACTCACTCACCCACTCACCCACTCACTCACCCACCCACTCACCCACTCACCCCTCCACTCACTCACCCACTCACTCACCCACCCACTCACCCACCCACTCACTCACCCACTCACTCACCCACTCACTCACTCACTCACCCACTCACCCACTCACCCACTCACTCACCCACTCACTCACCCACCCACTCACTCACCCACCCACTCACCCACTCACCCCCCCACCCACTCACTCACCCACCCACCCACTCACCCACTCACCCACTCACTCACCCCCACACCCAACCATCCACTCACTCACCCACTCACTCACCCACCCACCCACCCACTCACCCACTCACCCCTCCACTCACTCACCCACTCACCCACCCACCCACCCACTCACTCACCCACACCCCCATCCACTCACCCATTCACTCACTCACTCACCCACCCACCCACTCACTCACCCACCCACTCACTCACCCACTCACCCACTCACTCACTCACCCACCCACCCACTCACTCCCCCACTCACCCACTCACTCATCCCCCCACCCACTCACCCACCCACTCACCCACTCACTCACTCGCTCACTCACCCCCCCCACCCACTCACCCACTCACCCACTCACCCCCCCACTCACCCACTCACCCCCCCACTCACTCACCCACTCACCCACCAACCCACTCACCCACCCACCCACTCACTCACTCACACACCCACTCACCCACTCACTCACCCACCCACTCACTCACCCCCCCCACTCACCCACCCACCCACTCACCCACCCACCCACCCACTCACTCAACCACTCACCCACTCACTCACTCACTCACCCACCCACCCACTCTCTCACCCACCCACTCACTCTCCCACCCACTCACCCACACCCCCATCCACTCACTCAACCACTCACTCACCCACCCACTCACCCACCCACCCACTCACTCACCCTCCACCTACCCCCCCCCACTCACCCACCCACTCACCCACTCACTCACCCACTCACTCACCCACTCACTCACCCACCCACCCACTCACTCCCCCACTCACCCACTCACTCACCCACCCACTCACCCACCCACTCACTCACTCACCCACTCACTCAACCACTCACTCAACCACTCACCCACTCACTCACTCACTCGCTCACTCACCCCCCCCACTCACTCACTCACCCACTCACCCACTCACCCACTCACCCACTCACTCACCCACCCACTCACCCACTCACCCCTCCACTCACTCACCCACTCACTCACCCACCCACTCACCCACCCACTCACCCACTCACTCACTCACCCACTCACCCACCCACCCACCCACTCACTCATCCACACCCCCATCCACTCACCCATTCACTCACTCACTCACCCACCCACTCACTCACCCACCCACTCACTCACTCAGCCACTCACCCACCCACTCACCCACTCACCCACTCACCCACTCACTCACTCACCCACTCACCCCCCCACCCACTCACCCACTCACCCACCCACTCACCCACCCACTCACTCACCCACTCACTCAACCACTCACTCAACCACTCACCCACTCACCCACTCACCCCCACACTCACCCACTCACTCACCCACACCCCCACCCACTCACCCACCTACTCACCCACCCACTCACCCACTCTATCACTCCCCCACTCACCCACTCACTCATCCCCCCACCCCTCCACTCACTCACCCACTCACTCACCCACCCACTCACCCCCCCACCCACCCACCCACCCACCCACTCACCCCCCCCCCCCACACCCCCCACACCCCCCACACCCCCCCACCCCCCCCCACCCACCCCCCCCCACCAGGCACGGCACGAGGGGTGGTGGTTAACACTGGCGATCGTACCGTGATGGGGCGAATCGCCACCCTCGCCTCGGGCCTAGAGGTCGGACGAACGCCCATCGCAGTCGAAATCGAACACTTCATCCACATCATCACCGGCGTGGCAGTCTTTCTCGGAGTCTCGTTCTTCGTGCTCTCGCTCATCCTGGGCTACAACTGGCTCGAGGCAGTCATCTTCCTCATCGGGATCATCGTTGCCAACGTACCCGAGGGCCTGCTCGCCACCGTCACCGTGAGTTGTGGGTGGGTGGGTGGGTGGTTGTGTGGTTGTGGTTGTGGTGTGGGTGGTGGTGATGGTGGTGGTGGTGGTGGGTGGTGATGGTGGTGGTGGTGATGGTGGTGGTGATGGTGGTGGTGATGGTGGTGGTGGTGATGGTGGTGGTGATGGTGGTGGGTGAGGTTTCTCATCGTCAGCATCGCGGCGAATGCTCGCTCACTCACTCACTCACCCACTCACTCACCCACCCACTCACTCACCCACTCACTCACCCACCCACTAACCCACTCACTCACTCACCCACTCACTCACTCACCCACCCACTCACTCACCCACTCACTCACCCACTCACTCACCCACCCACCCACTCACTCACTCACTCACCCACCCACACACCCACTCACTCACCCACCCACCCACTCACCCACTCACCCACCCACCCACTCACTCACTTACCCACTCACCCACACACTCACTCACTCACTTACCCACTCACTCACTCACTCACCCACCCACCCACTCACTCACTCACCCACTCACCCACCCACTCACCCACCCACCCACTCACTCACCCACTCACCCACTCACTCACCCCACCCACTCACCCACTCACCCACCCACCCACCCACTCACTCACCCACTCACCCACCCACCCACTCACTCACCCACTCACCCACCCACTCATTCACCCACTCACCCACCCACCCACTCACCCACTCACCCACCTCACCCACTCACCCACTCACCCACCTCACCCACTCACCCACTCACTCACCCACCCACCCACCCACTCACCCACTCACCCACCCACTCACCCACTCACCCACTCACCCACCTCACCCACTCACCCACTCACTCACCCACCCACCCACCCACTCACCCACTCACTCACTCACTCACCCACTCACCCACCCACCCACTCACCCACTCACCCACCCACCCACTCACCCACCCCACCCACCACCCACCCACCCACTCACTCACCCACTCCCTCACCCACACACTCACTCACTCAACCACTCGCTCACCCACTCACTCACTCAACCACTCACTCACTCACCCACTCACTCACCCACCCACCCACTCCCTCACCCACCCACCCACTCACCCACCCACTCACCCACTCACTCACCCACCCACCCACTCCCTCACCCACCCACTCACTCACTCACCCACTCACTCACCCACCCACTCACCCACCCACTCACTCACTCACCCACCCACCCACTCACTCACCCACTCACCCACTCACTCACCCACTCACTCACTCACTCAACCACTCACTCACTCACTCACCCACTCACTCACTCAACCACTCACTCACCCACTCACTCACTCACTCACCCACCCACCCACTCACTCACTCACCCACTCACTCACTCACTCACCCACTCACTCACCCACTCACCCACTCACCCACCTCACCCACTCACCCACTCACCCACCCACTCACCCACCCACCCACTCACTCACCCACTCACTCACCCCACCCACTCACCCACTCACCCACCCACCCACCCACTCACTCACCCACTCACCCACCCACCCACTCACTCACCCACTCACCCACCCACTCATTCACCCACTCACCCACCCACCCACTCACCCACCACCCACCCACTCACTCACCCACTCACCCACTCACTCACCCCACCCACCCACCCACCATCCACCTACCCACCCACTACCCACCCA